TTTCACTCACGTTTCTGTTGTTGGTCCCCCGGGGAGTGGGAGTGGGGGGTTGTATGTCACTCATTTTGATTGGTTCCACCTTTCTCCCCTCTTTCCCCAACACCTTCCTAATGGTATCATTACTCTCATTACTGTTCCTGAGGGATTTCTCTGTCCTGGATTCTGTGTGTTGAGAGCTCTTATCTGTACCAGTGTATGTGCTCTGGTCTAGCCAGATTTGTAAGATAGAACTGGGGTCATGATAGTGTGAGGAGGAAGCATTAAAGAACTAGGAATTTTGGTCTTATACTGCACCCTGGCTGGCTTGTCCCTTCCTTGTGACCCTTTTGTGAGGGGATGTACAATTAATTGTCTACAGTTGGGCTTTGGGTCTCCATTTGGACCCTCCTCGTTTGCATTGAAATGGTTGTTTTTTTGTGTCTTCTGATGCCTGATATCCGACCCTATTAACACCTTGTGATCACAGAGGTTGCTGTGCTTCTTCCATGTGAGCTTTGTTGCTTCCCTGCTAGATGGCCACTTGTTTAACTTCAAGCCTTTAAGACCCAGACACTATATCTTATAATAGCCGGGCACCACCAGCTTTCTTCACCACATTAGCTCATGCACCCATTTTATCTGCAGCGATCGTGTCAGGAAGGTGTTGACAGAGGACTTCTCAACCATTCTTAGCGCAGCTTTATGGCAGATCTCTGGAGTAACTTTGCAGAATATCTTTAGAGAGGCCTTACAGAATAGTCTGTTTTGATCTGGGCAGGAACACAAACCCTCAATATACTTTTGAGTTCCATGAAAGTATCTTTGTTATATTTTAATAGGCCTCATTAACATTCAACAAACATTTCTTGATAAGCAAACGAACATTTTAGTATAGACAGGTGTTCTCATTAATCAGCAATGTTTCAAAGCAAAAAGCAAAGAACAAACCCTAAAAAGCGCTCACACCAATGCTGTGTCAGCAGGCACTGTGCATGATCTCTCCAGGAAGTACCGACGGTGACTTATAAGAAAACATACAACATATGAAATACAGCAAAGTAAATAAAAAGCGCAATTTTGTCATCAATAAAATATGGGTACTACTATGGTTTGATAAAGTTACTTCTTGTGTAAAAGCTGAAATGAGAGGATGGTTTCATGAGGCAGAGGAGGTACTGCTAGGATTTCCCCTCCACCAGGTTCTCCTTACCCCAGACTATGCTCAAAGCGGTTGTGTGACGCTCCTGGAAAAACGTAGTAACCGCCTCCCAGCTGTTTAATGTACCGAAGTCGCTGAAACTGGGGTGTGTCGATGATTCGGATGAGCAGAGGGTGGAGCTCAATGTGGCCATGGATGGGATCATTAATAACCTAGAGAATTAGACGCAGATTAATGCACGTGACCACACGCAACTCCATCTTACATGCTTGTGCAGCCATTCCTACCTATGCTCAGAAGTCAAACCTGTTTAATTGTTCAAGTAAGAAGAATACTTAGGGAACTGATTAAGACATTCATATCATTATCTTATTTACTACCACTCTCAGACAGATAAAAGTATATTGCACCTTCTCTTCCTTTGTTTTTAAGAAATGTTTTTCTGTATATGAAATCCAAAATAGGTAAATCTATAAAGATGGTAACTGGATAATGATAATAAAGGGGAGGTTGGAGGGAGATGGTGAGCTAATAACGTAAGCACAAGAATGAAGAAAATGTTCTAAAATGGACTGTGGTGATGATCGTACAACTCTTCTTGATACAACTGAACTATTGAATTGTGTGATAGGTGAATTATGTCATTGAAATGGTTAGAACAAAAGTATATTGCATGTAGGTATATTTGATTTCTTCTTAACAGTTTCCAATAAC